GATTATTAATGTTTAATTGTAAATTCTTTATAATCCTATTGGATTGTTAAAACCTTTTGTTACAATTTTTTTTTACCTTCGACAGCCAGATGCTCGGTGCATTCTCAAGCAAGACTTCACGTAATACAACAATGCTCCTATAAGTCATGTTAACATAATAAAGCATGCAACGCAGTGTCTCATAGACTATTGTATCCAATTCTACTTATGGTATGTTGAAAGCAGAAGACTATGGATCTCATTGTGTGTTTGCCACAGATGCCTCATAATCATACTGCGATTGCCAATTTTGTAGATCGACTCTCAAAATAACTTTATTTAGATGTGGTGCACTCAAATATTGATGCCCCAACGCTTGTATAGGTCTTTCTTAATACTATCTTTTGTCACTATAGATTATCTCATGTCATTATTTTAGATCAAATTCCATGCTTCATGAAAAGTTTTTGTCAAACATTGTTCAAGCTACTAGGCACATGACTTATCATATTTATAACCTTCCATCCTCAAACAAATGGGCAAACAAAGTATATAAATCAAACCTTGGAAGATATGTTGTAGGCATTTGTGGTGGTTCATCATAATGATTAGAATGAATACTTGTCGACCTTGGAATTTGCTTATAATGATAGTATTCAAGCAAGTATCAATCATTTATCATTTTTTTAAAATATTAGTCAACAATTGATTATGCCAATAATTCTCTATTGTCTCATTGACACTAACAACCTAACCATGGAAGAATTTATATAATGGCTTATAACGACCTTACAAGAGGCATGACATTGCCTCCTTATCACAGAAAATTGATAGAAGCAATATCCAAATAACCACCAGTAATACAAGATCTTTCGAGAATGTGATCAAGTGTTACTCTCTAATGCCAGCTTGCCACTTGCTACATTAACAAAAATCTATAAACTAATACCTTAATGGCTTGGACCTTTTCACAATTCTGTAGTGATTTTTTATATCGCGTACCGCCTTGAGCTTCCGCCACATATTCAGATCCATCTAGTGTACCATGTTTCACAATTGAAGGAATTTCATATTGAGCCAAAAAGCTTTTTGGATCGACACTAATCACTACTACCACCAGTTGTAGTTGATGACCAATAAGAATATAAAGTAGACAACATTTTGGAGTGTGACTACATTTGCCATGGTAGCGGATATCGACAACTTTAGTACAAAGTTCTTTGAAAATGTTATCTCATTCATGATGGAACAAAGGAACCTATACAAAACTTCACCCATTGCCAAGAGACAATTCGGAGATACCATTGGGAGCAAAATGAGGACGTTTCGCATTAGTGGAAAGAGATTAACTGTAACATGGTATTCATAAGATATTTGTATTATTGACACATAAAAATAGATAGTTAAAACCATGGAAGTTTCTAGAATTGGAGTTAGGTTAGTGGACTAGGTAAGATCTACCATAGAACATTTTAAAAAGAATTTAGGGTAGTTATTTAAGTGGAGCCCAGCATGAAACCTTCTTGAAAAAACTTATGATGGTTATCTAGGTGGGATCTATCATAGAATTTTCTAGAATGAATTTAAATCAATTATTAAAGTGAGATCCACCACCTATGAACATTCTAGAAAGTCCAAGGTGGTAGAATAAAGTATAAATAGGACTGACCAAGGCCTTTTGAGGCATTTGGTGAAGTATGGCTTTGGACCCTTTCTCTTAATACAATTGAATTTTATATCTTTTTATTTTATTTTATTCTATTTTAATTTTGATAGCTCAATTTTGTCTTCCATGTTCCATTCTATTAAGTTCTATTAAGTTTTATTTTGGTCCAATTTGTTATACCTTATGATGAGATTTTATGTTATTGTAGATTAAAAAGATCTTCGACACTAGAAATAGATCAGTCTTGTTTCATGTCCCAAGTATTCTTTAATGCTACTTTTTCATCTTTCTAGAAAGTGACTCCTTATTCTACCATATTATTAAATTCATTGCAATCCATGTTAGTATGAAAAATATAATCACACCAAATGCATCTTTGTATATATTTTTATTTAAATATAGCCTTCAAATTTTTTGTAGAAGTCTTTTTTTCAAGTCTTACCAATTTGATTTGAAGATCTTATATACCACATATAATCTCTTCAACTCCCATATCTTCTTTCTTTGATATAAATATTGGAGATTGAATAATAGGCATTATTAGTTATGTTGTATGAACTTGAGTTTTAGGTACTTGTATTACTCTTAGAATATTAATCATATCCTTCTTCTTCTTTCATTTTATAAGGAAATCTATATCATCTTCAATATTTTTCCACTTCATTGTCAATCCTTCATCTTCTTCTTTGTCTTCACAAAGCAATTCCAATTTTTCTAATAATTCTCTATCAATTGCTTGAAGAAATAACTCAACCTTATTTGGCTTCAATATTAACTTCTCTACCTTGAACTTCCATAAAAATATCTCCCATGAACTCCCATAATGCTTTATAATTGATATAATATGTTTTTGTATCTTTGATATCATAATAAGTTCAAATATCTCAATAATCTTCTTTTTAGAAATGTTGTCATGATGTAAAATGGCTAATAGTTGAAAGGATGAAGAAAATATCATATTTTTTTAAGATCTTATTTCAAATATATTGTAACAAATTAACTTGGAAAAATAGATTATAGTCAAGGGGTAGAAAAATTAAAGGTGCTAATACTGCCTTTTTTACAAAATAGGCTTCTATTCACTTTGTATGACCACAAATAGAGTTAAATAAGGTAGATTAGAAAAATAAACAATGTAGGCACTTTTAGAAAGAAGTTAAGAGTAGTTTGTAGCAAAAATTACCTTAGAAATCCAAGAGTTAATATCCAGAGATGACTAGTTATGAACCTAGGTTGAAATCAAATCCCATGGGACAAAATTGAGCTGGTATGGTAGTTCAAGGATTCTTTTGGAGATGGGAGACTAAAATTTGGGAACAAACTTGATAAGGTTTCTTTGAGCATTGATTTTGAGTGATTTGAGTGTATATTGACTTTGTAAGACCTTTGCAAAGTGAGGGTTTGTTTTGGATGACTCTGGATTTGTGAAATAAAATAGATGATACTTTTTGGACAATTTTGTAAGTCTGGTAGTAGATCTACAAGTGAAATTTTAAAGATTTATAGATATATATGTGCTCAAAATATACTATAAGTTTGAGCTTGATTGGAGGGTTGAATTGACAATTATTGAATTTCAAGTAGATTGAGATCTTGAAAATTGAGCTTTGAGAGGCAATTAGAGTTTCTAAGATCTTTAGCAATCTACCTTTCGAAGCATTGTTTTTGAGTTGCATTTTGACTTCCATATAAAGGCCTTATGAAGGCGCCTTTAGAGCATTGATTTTGAGTGATTATGAGCACTGAACAGTGTTCCCTCCCGAAGATAATAGCACTTTTGTTGGACCTAACAAATTGACCTATGGACATTAAATTGTGTTTGAGACTTGGAACATAAAAAATATTTTGAAGTTTATTGATGTCACAAGAATTACTAGGCAAAGCTACATCTCCCTGTCCTTTAACAGTGTGCTTGTGTCCATCAGTAGTTGCAACATTAATATGTTGTGAAGGTCGTTCTAAGGATGTGAACTGATCTATGTCACTCGAAAAATGTTTCAAGGCACTACTATGAATGACCCAGTCACTTTCGGAGTAAGAAGCTAGAAATAAAACCTTAAGAGCATTCTTGATTTCCTTTGGAGAGGGTATGTAGGACTCACCCGTGAAATGTTCAAGGAGATGAGCTTGAGTTTTGTAACGGCTACCTTCTGGCAGTGTTGTTATAGTCGGCTCTAGACAGTTCCGAGCCAAATGTCCTTGCTTTCGACACCTATGGCACTAAATGTCCTTTGTCCTCCTCAAGGTATTGAAGCGCTCATAGTGTCGAGGGCGATTGAAGATCCTTTGACGGTGCTGACCACAAATGGCATTCCTGATGCAGAACACCAACACTTCTTCATGAGGATCTGATTTGAGATTTGAGGCGCACTTCAGTTTCTTCCATATGAAGGCGAGTAGAGAGGCTGGACAATGTGTGAGGTTTTCTCTCATTTCGAACGATACGAATTAGTGTTTCAAATTTAGGTGGTAAGACCTTGAGAATCTTGTGAATGATCATTATCACCTCTGTTTGAACTCTAATCAATATGACTCGAAAATTACCTGGCATCCTCAAGGTCCCCACAACAATTATATAATCCCCACCAACGATCACTCCCTGCGCAAACCGTCAATTACGTGCCTCGTCGCGTCTCACAAGAACGTATATCCAAAGGAAGCCAGAAGGTCAACTCCTACAACACACCCATGTCAATTCCAGACACAAATACAGCGACTCAAGAGCTGAAGTATCTGAAACTCGGCGAGAAGCTTTATGTGCGCGCCGTTGATCATTCTCGCTCCATCACGAGGTTCTCTCTTCCGCTCTAACCTTCAGTTCTCAGAGGTCAGTCGGTCGGTCGTACACTTCCAACGGCCGAACAAGTGATGCGCAGAATAAACTAATCCAGCTGGTGACGATGGAAAGGTAGGAAAAGGATTAGCGTGAACATGAGCTGCTGATCCATTTTAATAGAAGAGAGCTGGTTCTGAGGAAGGTTTTTGGGTCATTTTCAAAGAGCACTTGGGAAACAGTCAACATAAACAAAATCCAGCTACAAATTACCACATCACGTGCACACATTCACGACAAATTTTCACCCACTTTCATATTTTTAGTTTTACAGCTCTGTGACCAGAGCATGCTTCCCATCGTGACAATTCTTAGCTTTACGACCAGTCATATTTTGCTGCATTTCCTCAAAATGACTTCGAATTCTTGTGACTTGTCCCTTACGGCAAGACGAAAATCCACCCTAGTAGCACATATTGTGTATTGTAATATAAATGAGCGTAGAAAAGTCTTCACGAACAGAAAGAACATAAGAATCAACCAGGCTTCGTGGTTGAGCGATGCTCGCGCTTGAAGCTGGTTCCCACGCAAATCTTCACACCAGATTATGTTCACTCGCGAAAGATTTTCTGCAAGGGATCTAAACTAAGGCGAGATGTTGAATGGGTGTGAGATGCATTTGGAATGGGAGAATCGGACGAGAGAGAGAGCGAGAGAAAGAGAGCGAGATAGTGAGAGTGGAGGGGAGGATGGAATGAACGAGTGGAGGATGGGGTGAAGATGGTGGTGGAGGGGACTTCATATGGGTGCCGCAGCAGACTCACAAGCGCTGGGTCTTGCCAAGCTCACCATGGCCGACTCGCTCGGTGGTTCTTCTCGTTGGGTTGATCTCGATCGCCTCCTGGTGCGCCCTGGCAACCTCGTCGGACCGGGCTTCGAGCCCGGCCCTGAGGTAATTCCTCTTCTTTTTTGGCTCACCAATTTCAGCTCATTGTGGTTGTATCTGGACAGTTTCGTGTATGACTGTAGTGATTGGGTGGATTGTATTGGCGATCTACTTATAGTTTGTAGAGTAGAGCATTATTCATGATTTTGAAAAAAAGAAAAAAGGTAACAAAAATTTTGAAATATGATTTGTAAGATTTGACCTGATTTTGAGTATTGAGTGATTGCGTTGAGTTTAGAAGAGCCCTTGTACTGGGTTGTTGTGGTCGCTGAAGATTCTTATAAGTATGTGGTCGAAGCTCGCATGTGTGCGAGTAGCATGTAGGTGTTGTCTTCGTGAATGCATGGATTGTTGCTGATCGTTGTGATGGGAGGTGATGGAAAATGGATTTGATTCAGAGCATCATCATCAGCTTGTTTGTAAGCGGATTGGGATGCTAGTAACAATCAAGGTCTTTAATGGATCGCTTTAGAGTATGTTTGAATCGTTGATGCCGTGACAAGTAAGGAATTCCGAGTGAGCATATGTCACTGCAGATAAAGTTCGTGTTTAAGGCTACACGATTATATCAACATTCTTGGTTTTCGAGTCCGTTAGTAGGGTAGAGAATATTGCTGTCTTCTTGTATTCTGGCTTGTTTTTTGAGTTCTTACGAATTAGGGTTGTGTTTATGTGGCAATGAGTGGCAAATCGTCGTCAAAACCGTCCATTCTACATCGCATTTTTTACTTGAGTGTACTGGAGTTTCTTAATGTTGATCTGAAAATGCACCCTCATGTGTTAACAATGAGCGTGTGTATCCTGTGTTTTGACTTTCTGAGCTGGAAGTGGACTTAAAGGACGGGCACTGAAACAACTTTGTTTTTCGTCGAAGAAGTAGGCATATGCTAACTTGTGACCTGGTCAGTGTTATCCTGGTTATAAGCTCTACCTGGTTTTGGTGGGTTGCAGCTACTCGAGTCGCTGCAGAATGATTTTCGAGTGCTGGTGATTGGAGCGGGGGGTCTGGGATGCGAGCTTCTCAAAGACCTTGCTCTGTCAGGGTTTGGTCTCATTCATGTCATTGATATGGACACTATCGACGTGTCCAACCTCAATCGACAATTTCTTTTTAGGTCTGCGCTCTCTCCAATAAATTTAGGATATTTATTCGTGAGCTCAGCTCATCTAGTTTTCACACAATATTTTATTTGAGGATTTTACGTTTTCTTGACTAGCTGTTTAGGGCTTTAGTGTCATTTAATGTTGGGGTTGGTTGAGCATCGAGATGGGTCCTAAATTTGATTTTGTGAAAATACTACTTCAATGATTCTTTTCCTTTTGTTGACAAAGTGGCTTCTTCACGCCGAATTGCCGAAGAAGCGATTTTCTCGTAGGTGCCTTTCTGTCTTGGAATTCACAGATTTGGGGTGTATGACATTGACAAAAATAAGTTGTGCTCACTGTTTGACCACCTAATTTACAACAATCTCGTATTTATGTTACCATAATTTTAATAAGGAAGCTTTCATCAACCTAAACCTCACTGTTTTCTATGCAGAATTCAAGATGTTGGGAAACCAAAAGCTGAGGTAGCTGCTGCAAGGGTGATGCAAAGAGTGAAAGGTGTTACAGTGGTTCCTCATTTTTGCAGAATAGAGGAGAAAGATGTTTCATTCTATCAAGACTTTCAAATCATCGTCTTGGGCCTGGACTCCATTGAAGCTCGAAGCTACATCAACTCTGTTGTCTGTGGATTTTTAGGTCAGTTGGATAATATTTTACTCCACAGGGATTGGATATTTTTATGTCATTGAACAGTATTTCTCAAGTTTGTATACTTGTAAATTATGTCCAGTTTATATGTACTTGAACATAGTATTGATACTTATATCATAACCCCTTCTCAGACCTGGTTTGTGCATTCTTCTGCTCCCAATGTGGTGTGGGGTGGCAGGGCAGTTCTTTTGAAAGTTTTACCCTCTTTCCACATGCAATTTGAAGCTATAGTTTAGCGACTAGATCTCTGTATTTGTATTGCTGTTAATTTACTGATGTCTGTATGTGTGCTCTTTCCTGGGATTTCGAAGTTTATGAAGAAGATGGTTCTCCAGACATGACCACTATTAAGCCTCTGGTGGATGGTGGCACTGAAGGGTTCAGAGGCCATGCCCGTGTCATTTATCCTGGGCTGACACCTTGTTTCCATTGTTCTCTTTGGCTATTTCCTCCTCAAGTCACGTTTCCACTCTGCACTTTAGCTGAGACTCCTCGATCACCAGCTCATTGCATCGAGTACGCCCATCTCATTCAATGGGGTCAGGTAGACCAGTTGAACTCAAAGTTTACTTTTACTCTATTTATTGTTTTTATTTTGGTTTGGAATATAGCATCCGGTTTGACATAAAAAAATTACTAATCTGGCTTTCTTACATGAAAGGAATGCGCTTGCATTGTATCTGATAAAGAAAGTGCTACGCTAGAATGACCTGCATTGTGCACCATAGAATTTCTAATATATGTTATAGTAATTGCAGGAACGACAAGGAGAGACGTTTGATGCAGATAACCCTGAGCATATGAAATGGATCTATGATCAGGTGTGATTATCTTTTTGCTTGGGATTGCAACGATGGTCGTAACGATGTTATGGTGAATTTGAATAAGATAACACGCACGCCTTGTTATATTGCTGTAATTTTCTACGATGGAATTTAGCAATCAGTTTTAACTCAAGTACTCTCTATTCAAGTCTATTTTTGGGGACAAAAAACTTGTTTCTAGTCAGAATTTTTTATTTTATTTTAAGAGTTGTATTTAGCTTTTCATTAACGACTTCTGAGACATCTGGTCGTAGGCTTTGAAGCGGGGAGCACAATTCAACATAAGTGGAATAACATATTCTCTTACTCAGGTCTGTAGTCTCCATCCACAACTTCTTTAGCTACATGTTTACTGAGGCTTGAAAGAACATTCTGAACAAGCTACCTGCGTTCTCAAGGCTTGTTTATGTCTTATACCAGGGAGTCGTGAAAAATATCGTGCCTGCTATTGCTTCGACAAATGCTATAGTAGCGGCTACATGTGCTTTGGAAATCCTCAAGATAGCTACCATGTTCAGCACAGGCATGGACGTGTACATGCAGTACGTATCTTCTTCCTGATGCATTGCCTCCGACAGTTATTAAAAAGAATATTGGTTCTGAAACTGTTTTTGTAGATGAATTTTTCTGATGCGAGATGTCTCACTTGTTCCTAGTGATAGGGACAAGTTAATTCTTGCCCTCTGCAAGGACATTTATCTGCAGTAAGCTCTGCGCTGAACTTGGCTCCAAACTTTCACTGTTGAAGAGAACTGTCATTACAGCTTATTGACCTGCAGGTATACGGGGACAGAAGGAATTTACATGCGGACCGTGCCGCACGATAAAGATCCCAACTGCACCATGTGCAGCGCAGGAGTTCCTGTCGACGTTGACAATACCATTACGTTGCAAAAGGTATTGTTCTTTTTCTAAGATTATTGTTAAGTAAAGTATTGATGGTCGATACGTGGATTTGTTCCCCGTATCTTCTCCATTCTGAACATGTTTCAACTTTCGCAGTTCATCGATCAACTCCTGAAGGATTCGAGATTCAAGCTGAAATTGTCAAAGCCAAGTGTGTCATATCATGGCACCAACCTCTACATGCAGGCACCTCCTGTTTTGGAGGAAATGACCCGACCAAATTTGCAGCTGCCTCTTCTTGGCCTTATGGATGGCAACACATCTGGGGTGTTAAATATCAATGACAGAAGATTAACTGGAGTTTTGCGAGTGCGTGTCACATTTAAGGAGGGGCCGGATTCAGTAGACATGGATACAGTTGGAGGGGTTTGATGTACCTTCTACAACCCCTTGAATCAACTTTGCTGAGTGTAAATTCTTTGCTCTTTCATGATATTTCCATGCTTTTTGTTGCACGACTATTATTGGGCTACGAGTGCAACATATATATTTGAGGTGGACTTGCTAAAATTGGATATTGAATCTGCTAAAATTGTTTTCCACCAATACTAAGGTGAAGTTTGAGTTATAAACTAGAAGTGGGTACAGACACTGTAGGACTGTCTTCATAAGATCTTTAAATTGGGGTGTTACATGTATACAATTGTTTGAGTATTTATAGTTAGTAAATTTTGTTTTTCCAGAAGACTTGAATCATGTGGTTTAATTTTTATGTCAATGGAATTGTCTGGGAACATGTAGAATGAAAAACGAATGAATTTGGAAATGAACTCATTGCTAAGAAATAAACATTGCGATAAATGAACTGAACATTCAAAAAAAGATGAAAACAAAGTTGAACATTGAAATAAAGGTCAATTGTACTTGCTTTAGTATAGTTTATGTATTAAACATAAGTTAAGTTAATCTTAACGGATAAAAAGTGATGTAATTTCACTAATACATAATACATGTTGCATATAGCTTATAAATCAATCTTTACAAATTTACATCCATTATTTTGAGTAGCTTTGAATTAATAAAATTTGTAGAACTCTCTTTAAAATTACGTTTGACTCAAAAAAATAAAAAACACCCAATTTCAACAATTTATTTTGGATTTTGAAATTGCAAATTAGTATTAAAAATACACTTTGACAAAGACTGATTATTCTTATTTATCAATGTTTTGTTAAAACTACCATCAAGTATATTTTAAAGTTTTTTTAATAAAAAATTTACAGAAAAGATTTGAAATCAATATAACTGAACAGTAAGTAGCAATATTCAACAGTTAGATAAACCAAATCAGATTTGTATTGAACAATTAAAAAAAAAAACAAAAAAAAAAAAATCATGAAGAAGATTATACTATATGTTATATTTTTAGAATGACATTTACACTATAGAATTTCATGACAAGTTAATATTACATATTGACCATAATTTGCATAACACTATAATAAAAGCCCTTTATTAGAAAAGAATTTAAAATCATTCAAATAGAAGAGAATTAGAATTTAGATTTGGATGTAAAAAGTGGTATGTGAAGTCTAAGAAAATAATTTTTGAAGGCCTTAAAGATTATAAATAAATAAATAAATAAATAAATTCAAAAAATCTAAATATTAAATAACATGAACTTATAGTATATAATTTTTAATGTATTTTTTTTGAATATATGTATTATCAATCAAGAATCACACAACATCTACTCTTATGAGATTCCTTTTAATGCCATTTCATTTACAAATCCATCTTGCAGATTCATATTTTAATATTCTTCCAAACATTTCTCACAATTTCAATAATAATAAGTAAAAACACCATTTATTCATGTATATCTTATATACTTAAGTAATTATGCCCCGTATCAGTCTATTTCCATGATGATATTATAGAAAGTTTACCTTTGTTTCCATATTGATCATATATATTTCTTTGATGATATATGTTTTTATCCATATATTTGTTTCATGTTTTTAAATAGTTGCATTTCATATTTCCTTCCTGTATCATTTGTACAGTTTTATGCATTTTCTATTTCATGTATGTATGCATATATGTGTATATTTATATATAGTTCCCTTTTGAGTAGTGCTAATGAAATATGTTAGTGTAATTCTTGGTTACATTGTTTGCACAGTGATTCATATTACATATTATTATACAACAATAACTTTCTCTAACACATTGAAGTGATGGCCTCTAATCCTAGTATATATCCATATACATATATATATATATATATATAGATGTATAAACACACACACACATATAAAATCAACCAAAAGTTAAGGATGAATTTGTGCACAGTAACAATCATCCTAATGCTGATCGAAAACACCTCATGGCAACTCGATTCAGTTTCGGACACCGTCTATCCATAAATTGATGTGTATGAATCAACACACACACACACACAGAGACATTCAAATACACATAAACATGAATAAAAGCAAGGGGGTCATCGTCATGTAGAGAAGAGTGAACGCACAGGCAAATTAAGAGATCAGAGCAAACATGACAACAGCGGAGTTCAACTTCAAAACATTAATGCCACGACTAACCAAGCTCAGCAGATCCGCACACCAACACTGCAAACACAAAGCTGGATGGAGGAGGAGTGGATTGGATTCTAAACAAGGAGAACCCGAAGCTGAGCAGCAAGATGAAGGGAGGGAGGATTGCTCATCATCGGCAACGCACTGTCCCAGCAGGGCAGAGATTAATACGCTGGGGGAGGTGGACTCGACGTGATTGTGAAGCTTGAGGGCCTGATTTGCTTCACTTGGGGGCATTGAATGGAAATGGGGGCTCCCTGTCTCCTGGCTGTAAGTTTGATGCGATGGGGAAGACATCGGCAACCATAACAATAATTGCATTTTCCCCTTCTTTTTTTTTCTTTTTTTTCTTTTTTTTTTTCAATGTGTTTGTTAGACCCACTGATTCGAGACGAGGCCGATTACACACTAGACGTGTCCGACTGGAGGTCGTGGTGCAACTGCAAGCAGATTCTTCACTGGAAATCACTGCAGGTTCACACCTACTTAGTGAACACCGCCGCCGCTTGTTATTCCAGTCCCTGAACTTGGCCGTCGTATGCATTGTGTGCTAGTTGAGGTGAACATGCTCATGTTGTTAAGAAAACGATATGTATGATATTATCTGCAGTGGTGTTGTTTTGTTTTGTTTTGTTCTGATTTTTTGTTTTTTTCATCTGAGCTGGAAGTATGTGTGAGTTGCGGACAGGTTGCGCACCGGTTTCTCTATAGAGAGCTGTCAGTTATGAACTCGGAGAAGTTAGTCAGTCGTCGAAGCAATGCAGATCGGCAGCAGCATCTGTTATAAAACTTGTGGAAGTGTGAGGTTGTGACTCAACGTTGCAGGTCGGAGGAACAGAAACGGCTCTGGATCTAGATTGCTGTATTGTTGAGACTGGGATCTTTGGGTATCTGACCTCCCGGTCGAATGAGATCAGAAACAGTATTATGTGATCTTTCAACCATTTCTAGATATATGTACTGGCTCCATCCTGTTTGACGTGACTAGCTATCTATCCAGGTTATAGAGTTGATCGCCTGTGTTGGACTTGAAACATCATGGGAGGGAAGGAGGAAGAGTACTGTCTGGGCAAGCTGGAGACCATGCCAGATAATGAGAATGACAGTCCCTTTCCCGAGGGTTCCCATATAGGCTCTTTGAGAGATTTCTGGAGGGCATCTAGCGGAATTTCCAACCAGAATGATCGACTCCTGCAAGGTGTGTTCGCCGAGATATCTGACAAGTTTTGCAACAATATCTGCAAGTGATGATCACAGAATTGTCACATTTCGATGCGCATCAGTATTGCCATCTGGTTTCTTTCGAATTTCCCTTTATGATCACACCAAAAAGTTTGCTTCATTCTGTTGTGCTAGATACGCATGAACCGGGACATGGTGGGCATCGTTTCGTCCGCTTCAGCCGTCTCGAGGAGAATCCACGACTCGAGTCTTACATTGCGTCGACTGGAGAGCTAGCGGGCTGGGTGGAGAAGTCTGCTTCTGTGGAAGCAACCCGGTCCAGTTTGCAATTATCTCAATCCCAGGCGTTCTTCGAGCAGTATTCTACTCAGTACCCACAGTCGGACATATCCTCAAGCTCGCAAGCTGACATATCTGCTCATGACTACTTGAACATTTTCAAAGGCACACATGCCCAAGCAAAGGCCGATATGAAGCCCAGAATCACTCAGTTTATGATTCCTGTCCAAAACCAACTTGAGGCGGGGAGCTATTTGTTACCTCATATGGCACACGACGACAGCAACAACTTTTCAACTTCCAGTAATATAGGGCGGGCCACGCAATCTCTGTGTACCATGCACCAAGACATGGAGACACTCAGGCAGGTCCCCAAATCTAATGACCTCTTGATAGCCATCACAGCTTCTGCGGCAGCTGCCGTTAACCAGGAACGTGGGTCGGGGTCCGAGACTGGGCAACATGATCGTGACGACGATGAGAAGAACAAAGCTACCGATCGGGCAAGTTGATCGAAAGATTCTTACAAAATGGGTCATTCCGTAGTACAGAAGTGCGCTGCTCTCAAACAGTTGATGTTACACGGTTAGGTGTGTTAAGAGAATCGCACCAGTTATCCAGACCATGAAATTTCTTTTGTGTTTCACAGGGTAAATTACCCGAAAATGAGGAAGAACAGCTGCTCAGGGATGCCATCGTTGACCATCCTCTCTATCCAGAGTTAGTCGTCGCACACATCAGTATCTTCAAGGCCCGTCCTCGACTCTCTGTTCAATCTTTTGACTGATTCATTGTACCCTTCAGCCTTCATCTGAAATTCCTTACGCTGATGAGTGATACTCAGCGAGCCCTTTAAATTTGCAACCTGAGGGAAATTGTTGTTTTGGTTGGTAATTCACTGCAGATTGGTGCGCCGAAAGGTCTTCTTATCAAACTAGACGAGATGGAGAAGAAGTTCCAACGATTCCAATACGGAGAATCATCTTGGAACGTCTTACATGTTACGAAATTTGGCCAGGATCCTTCACTTGATTTCTTCATGGTATTTTCGTGATCCTAAACTCAGCGTTATCAGAACTCGTCCATTTTGACATTTTGACATTATCACATTTTGATGTTTCGCGGAATGCCAAACAGAATAGGTGTTGCTCTGGAAGCATTTTGTTGAGTTTCCACATGAACTGGTGCAATACAGCGTTGGCATGAATTTTTTGTGTTGGGAACTTGTCAATGTTCATGGCAGCCGCAATTGATTTTCTCTCGGTTTCACTTTGCTCACATTAGTGGTATTCCAACTGTTTTTACCACAGAGATCGTACATAGACTTGCTAACAAAATTTCGAGAGGATTTGGAGAACCCTTACAACAAATTCGCGCAGTATAAGGATAAGGTTACCAAGGATTTGGAAGATCTTTGCGGCCACTATATTGAAAGTAAGTCTCTCTCTTGTTCCTGCTCATCACAAAATATTGTGTTACCTAGTCCCAATTCTCCGCAGCCTTTACCTTCTTTACAAACTTAACGCAAGGGTTCTTCTAAATTAGCGATAGTACCGTCTCGGGTCCTCAGCGTTGCAGTTCGTGTGCCGTCCTCCTTGGAAATGAGGCTATCTGGCCTATTTGACTGTCCCCTGAAAGTCCTGCGGTACAGAACATGGGAAAATTCCCAAGTCTGTTGAAC